GCGCCTGCGCCGACGACCTCACGGTGGCCCTCGCCCACAGCGCGCGGGGCGCGCCCATCCTCGAGCGCGTTTTTGACGAGTATGAGCGGCTGTCTGGTCTGAAGCTACACAGGGGGAAAAGCGTCTGGGTGCCCCTCTCCTTAACACCGGTGGACGTGGTCCGAGTTCGCTTGCAGGCAGCAGCCCCTGCCGGGGGGGAGTTCACGGCGCGCCGGCACGCCGCGCACTTCGGCTTCGAGGTGGGGCCCTAGCGCGCGCAATCGTCCTGGACAAAGCCGCTGCAGAAGTATATCTCTCAGGCAAGGACATGGCGTGCCGTGGGCGGCGGCATGCTCATCAACTTCCTCGCCTACCGCGTCTACATCTTCCCTGTCCTCTGCTTCGTCATGCAGCTGGACCGGCTGCCGCCAGACTGGGCCGAGCATGAGCAGAAGGCGTGCGCGCTGCTGTTCCCGGGGCCGCGCTGCTGGACCTCGCTGGCCGCTTTGCGGGACTAGTGCTCGTTGGGATTCCCTTCGCAGCTTCCCGATGTACACGCCACCCCCCTCGCAGCCAAGTGCAGGGTGCACCGCTGGGAGGCCGACGCCGCCGGGGGCCTGCAGATCCCACGCCGGCGGCGTTTGCTGATGGACAAAATTAGCAACTCGAGCAACCTCCAGCAGTTGGCTACATGGAGTGAGTGGTACAATGGCAACTTTAGCGAGAATCTCGAGGCCGCCTCGAGGCTTGCACCGTCGGGACCGGCCTCTCCGTCGCTCTTCTGGTCCAAGGTGCTTCTGCTATTCCGACGCCCCAGTCGCAATGGCAACGGCGCTGCCGCCAGCTGCTGACGCAGGCGAGCCCAGTGAGCACCACGCGTGAGCTTTCTCGCTCCATTTGTCGCCTCCCCTTCCACCTCCTTCACGGTCGTCGCCTTCCTCGCGCGCTGGCGGCTTTGCGCGGTCTTGCGCACGCCGTGCCTTTCAGGGTTTGGGCATCTCTGTACAGGGCCATGCGTGACAGCTGGCAGACCGCCCGGCGATTTGGGCGCTGGGCACCTTGCCCCTTCGGGTGTCCGCGCGGCGAGGAGAGTCCACAGCATTTGGCAGTGCCCATGTTTGGCGGAGCTACTGTACAGGCACTTGCGTCTGCCCCGCCCCTCCCCGGCAGCTCGTCTCTCGTGTCTTGTGGCTCTGGAGCCCGCGTTTTAGCGCTGGCTGCCATAGTCGCCGCGGCGTGGCAAGAAACGCACGGTTGACCGCTGCACGTTGGTCCAGTCGCCTCTGTCCCCGCCGCGTGGCCGATAAGTGGTTGGCACGGCAGTTCCCCCTCCTCCCCCCCTCTCCTTCCCCCCTCCCTTTCCCTCCTCTAGCCGTGTGCCAGCTTATCCGGCTGTGCAGTGCCGCGGGAACTCCCGATGAGGCAGCGCACCGGGTCCGTGATTTGCATGTCGTCGCAGGTTGGTCCAGCCGCCTCTGTCCGGGCCGCGTGGCCGATATGAGGTGGGCATGGCCGATATGAGGTGGGGAGAAGGGGGAACTGCAGTTCCCCCTTCTCCCCCCCTCCTCCCCTCCCTCTCCTCCCCGCCCTTCTCCCCTCCTCCTCTTCCTGTGCATGTTGCATCTGTGTGTTGTTACACAGTACCATTACCTAGCTACTCGCTGCTCCTGCAGTCCCCTGCGCGCCGATGGTCATGCCATGGCCTCGCATTTGCTTTTGGTCGCTGTCCAGCGCCTTATTTCCGTGTGTGTTGTACTGACTCGCCAACGAGCGCGACACCTTGCGAGCACGCCGTTTTCTGGTCAGCGGGGCGTCCAGACTCACAGGAGTCGGCTGGCGATGACTCACAGGGCTTTGCTCAGTGCTCCCCTCCTTTCTTCACCTCCTCCTCCCTCCTCCCCTCTCCTGCCCGACTCCGGGGCTATTGCAGGTTCTTGCCATCATCTCTGCACGGCTGCCAGCTCTCTGGCACGGGGGTGATACGTTTTCCAGCGAATTTGTATCTTGTGTTATCTGCCTTGTCGTTTCCTGCGTCCGTTTCCACACTTCAGGAAGAAAACGGTTTTCAAGTGCAAGCATTCGCGTTACGACGGTGGTTATTGAATCTCGCGGTCCATTCCCATTTTTTCCTTCCGAAAAAATGATGATGATGATGATGATGATGATGATGATGATGATGATGATGATGATGATGATGATGATGATGATGATGATGATGATGATGATGATGATGATGATGATGATGATGATGATGATGATGATGATGATGATGCTGAGATGATGATGATGATGATGATGATGATGATGTGATGATATGAAGATGATGATGATATGATGATTGATGATGATGATGATGATGATGATGATGATGATGGATGATGATGATGAGATGAGGATGATGATGATGATGATGATGATTGATAATGATGATATGATGATGCTGCTGCTGCTGCTGCTGCTGCTGCTGCTGCTGCTGCTGCTGCTGCTGCTGCTGCTGCTGCTGCTGCTGCTGCTGCTGCTGCTGATGATGATGATGATGATGATGATGATGATGATGAGGTCTGGCGCCGTCGAGCGTTTTATGTTAATACCACGCCAGCCTTGGCCGTCGAGCCAGAGGCACGCTGGCGGTGTCGCCTGGCAGGCTGAACGCTCCATTGACGACGAAGGCCCGTCTGCGAGAACGGCGCCGATTGTCAACGAATGCAAGCCTCGGCAACTCCCATGATTCAGAGGAGGCCCATTCCTCTATTTTGCACTTCGCGTTCACCGCCGGCCGCCCATTCCAGCTCTCGCCGTAAGAGACGCAGACGGCGCCAAGACTACGCGGCTATATTTTGAAAGTGCTGTTAGATTCCCCCATACGTGTGTTTCATTTCTCCTCCATCCCATCGCAGATTGGCTCAGGTGTGCCGTGTGGCTGATCGATGTTGAATTCGTCGATCAGTCGTCGGCCCGTCATCATTACCAACGGATCAGTGGTATGAACGCTGGCTCTCTGGAACCCGTACCTCTTATCCACAGCGGTAGGCCAGAGATAGCGAGAACGTTGCCCGAGACCAGCCATAGACGGCCCGAAAGCGGCCCTAAAGGCGCCCACGAGGGCCGAAGATGGCCCCAAGAACTCCGAAAAGGGGGCCTCGAAGGGCACGATGCGGCCCGCGGGAGCTTCTGGACGGCCCGCGCGGGAGCACTTCCACGTTGGGCCGCAACCCCGTCCGACTGTCATCAAACATTGGGCCGGTTAGGGGCTGGTTTGGGCTTCGTTTTGGGCCCCAAGTTGGGCCCAGCATCCTCCAATATTGAGCGCCCAAATACGTAGTCGAAGTTAGCATGTGGAACAGACCCCAGACGAGCCCGAAAGTTAGCTGTTAGACGCATCCGAGCAACCCCCGACGAGGTTTAACTCACCCCACACATATGTTTGTTTGGTATATTTTTGAAGGTCCGAGTTTGCAGGCGAAGTTGGGCCGAAGAGGCGCTCTTGAGGGCCCCGGGAGCGAATTCTGGAAGCCTAGAAGGGGCCCAATAGGGTTGGAAATGGAGCCAAATTGCGCCTCAAGGGCAACTTGGGAACGGTCTGAAATGCGATCTCGTCTTGGACGCCGTCTGGAAGTCGTCTTGGGCCGGGAAAGGGTCGATGCAGCAGCTGGGCGGCGGAATGGCGGAGGCCTCGGGGGCAGGGGGGTCTTAACGGGTGGGCTACCGCCTTGTAAGGAGCTCGCACAGTTAAGTCTCACACGCCCCTCAGCCTGGTGGGCGGGCGGATTCAAAAGGCTTGTGCCATTCCGCCGACCCCCTCAAGAGGAGATGTGCGGCTTCGGATTTCGTATGTATTGTTTGCCGCTTCCCTCTCTTGGGCCTTTCTTGGGCCCCCCTTAGGGCCCTCTTGAGGGCCTTTTTGGCCATCTTGGGGGCCTCCTGGCCGGACTTAGGGCCCTCTTGGGCCGTCTCTGGGCACTCTTGGGCGCTTCTGGTGCCGTCTTGGATTGTCAGGAGCCCGCAAAGGCGAGAACGCAAAAGCCGTTCAAACTCTTCTAGGGGCATCGCTGATGTTTGCCTCTTGGGCCCCTCTTGGGGGTTCCCTTGGGGCCCTGCTGGGGCCATGTTGGGACGTCTGGGAGGCGCCTTGTGCCCTCTTCGGGCCATTTCTGATGTTCTTGCGGCTTCAGCGTGTCGGGGAGCCCTTCTGGAGTCATCTTAGAAAGCATCTTGGGCAGCTTGGGCGGCCAGGGAGAGTTGATTTGGAGGCTCCGGGAGCTCCTGAGGTGGGGTGACCTGGATTTGGGACCCCCCGTGAGTGGGAAACGGGAAGGGGGGCTGACAGATACCTTCAGCAAGCGGGGTCGGCCGACTCTTTGCCTCGAACACTTCGCACTCTGGCATGTCATATTTCGTCCGATGTTCCATGATCTACTCTGCTGTGTATCCTCCACTACCCTCTGTGCTTTTATCTCAGCTTTATAAATCCTCCCCCTACTTTCTATTAGCCTACTCGATCTACTCTCCACGCCTTACTCCTCTACTCCTCTACCCTCTATTCACGACCCCGCTCTCAACAATCTACTCGTCCTTCTCCAGTCTTCCCTCGCTCATCTCATAGGGGGATACCAGCCGTCCGTTCACTCCGACTCTTGCGATGACACCTCTGGGCCTGGGACTCATGCATACGCCGTCTTCGCCTCATGCTGGCGTTCATTAGCAGGCCGACGCTTCATGATCAGAAGGTACCCTGACACCCTCCTACTCCTCCGTTTCTTCCGCTCTCCTGTTGTCTCTCGGAAGTGTCTGGTGTCCTTCTGGGTGTCCTTCACCTGTGCTACGACGGCGCGCTGATTCCGGGTCCAGGGTTGACCCGACCAGGCTGACCAGGCTGGGTGCAGGTGGATAGCTGTTTTCCCAACGCCGCGGCGATCTTGCCCTCCAAAGTCTCGCCGCTCTGCCGAGGTGGGCTCGAGCTTCCGCCGCCGAGTGGGCCCCGCCGGCACGAACCCAGCGTCCCAGGGGCTGGCGCCGCGGCCATGGACCCGCGGTTCGACACCTCCAGGGACCCGCGCTTCCGGCGAGCACCTCGACATGTCCGCAGAGTGGAGGTGGACAAGAGGCGCGCCGGGCCCACTGGAACCGGCGGTGGGCGCTCCTCTGGGGGAGCGGTCTCGGAGGCGACGACAGGGGCGAATAGCCCAGCGGTGGCCATTAGCCGCATCCGCCCGGGAGCTTCGTCGAACGCATGAGCGATCGGAGCGCCAGGATTCACGCAGTTAGTGCCCCTCCCTGGGCTATCCGCCCCATGGCGCGGCCGCCGATAGTGGGGGCCGTCACCGATCGTAGCGATATCCCCGGCACCCCCGACCCCTGGCCATTGGGAGTCGGCTTCAAGAACCAGCGCCATCCCGCCCGCCCGACCATGGCGATTGGGGCCATAGCCAGTCTTCTTAGAATTCGTTCCGAGCGGGATGGGAGTGGGGGTGGGGGACCTGCTTTGATCTTTTGGCCTGCCCACTTCTTCTCTTTAAGGCTGCCCTGGTATTCTCCTTATCGCTGCTATGCTGCTGATTATGACTGTTGCATGTCTAAATGTTTGTCGCATGATTCCACTTAATATTATCATTATCAGCATGATTGTTATTATTGTTTTCGTTTTTATTCATCTTGTTGTTTTATATTCATGTTTTTCTTCGTATTACTTTTCTCATTATTCCCTTATTCTAATTCCCCAACGAGAGCTTGCCTCTGTAGGGGTCCTAGCGGATTCATATGGTTATGTGAGGTGCGTCGCTGATTTCGGTCGCCAGCCCGGGTGCCCAGGTGCCCAGGTGCCCGTCTGCCTCGGGGTGCCCGGGTGCCCAGGTGCCCAGGTGCCCAGTAGCCCTATAGCCCTATAGCCTTATAGCCTTATGTTTATAAGCCTATAGCCCTATAGCCCTATAGCCCTATAGCCCTATAGCCCTATAACCCTATAGCTCTATAGCCTTAATAGCCCTAATGGCCCTAATGGCCCTATAGCCCAATAGCCCTATAGCCGTGTAGCCGTATAGCCCTATAGCCCTATAGCCCTATAGCCCTATAGCCTTACGCTTATAATTCTACAGCCCTATAGCCCTATAACCCTATAACCCTACTAGCCCTAATAGCCCTAGTGGCCCTATAGCCCTATAGCCCAATAGCCCTATAGCCCTATAGCCCTGTAGCCTTCTAGCCCTATCGCCCTATAGCCCTATAGCCCTATAGCGCTATAGCCCTATAGCCCCATAGCCTTATAGTCCTTTAGCCCTACAGCCGCTTGGCCCTATAACCCTTTAAAGCAATGATCGGGGTGTTGTTTCGGTATCGTTGTAATTTGTGTTACATTTTTTAGCACTCACATGTTTCTTACCATGTTTTAGGTAATTATTCTTCTTCTTCGTCCTCCTACCCCTCCTGCTGCTGCTGCTCCTCCCCCCGCCTCCCCCTCTCCCAACTGCCCTCCCGTACTCCCCGCCTCGTCTCCCTCCTCGCCCTCCTCCCCGTGCCCCTCCCTCCTCCTCCTCCTCCTGCTCCTCCTCCTCCTCCTCCTCCTCCTCCTCCTCCTCTTCATCCACCCTCCACCCCCTCCTCCTCCTCCTCCTGCTCGAACGGTAGTGCCGCCTTCTCACCCCTGCCTTGCCTGGCATTGCTGGATCCGCTGCCGTTTACAGCCTGCAGCGCCCCGTGCCCGTGTTATTCTCGTCTTACTTCCTGCCTTCACCCGTGTTCGGGAAAAGAACCGTTCTCTTTTGCCACATAACCCCTTACAGCCATTTCTTTATTAGGTAGCGGAATTTCAGTTCACTTCCACAACCGCAATGGCTTCTCCCTCTTGCACCGCGTCGACCGCCAAGGTTCCACCTCTCCACCGTGTTCAAGGCCGCGATCATGCCGCCACCGTGTTCACCGTGGTCGGGTACTACTACTTGACCACCCCTGGGGCATGTGCCCTTCCGCCTTTAGGACCTGCGGAGGGGGACGTGCACAACCCGTACATCTACAAGTACGCGAACAATACCGTCAAGAACGTCCAGAACACAAGCCGTGCGCTGGGTCTCTCTGCTCCCTCTCCCGGGCTCGCAATGACTTTGTCAGCGCAGCTCGCGGACCAAACGTTTCCGACACACGCGTCCGTGGGAATGGCCACAATTGTGGGTGTGGCCGTCAATACTGGACAGTTGTTTGATGCAGCGCTCACACAAGCGGCGTCGGCAAAGGGCCCCGGGCTCCTTGTGACTATGCACGAGAGCCCGGGGAGGAGCAAACAGAGAAGAACGCGAAGTCAGTGGAGGGCCTGGCGACCTGTGCTGTCAGCAATCCGAGGGACCGCAAAACGGACGTGGGACTATCCGTCCTCGCTCTTTTGGAACACGACCTATCGTCCTACCCACGCATGTCCTGCAGTCTGGCAGGACGGGGTCCCGGTGCGTACTCCTCTTAACGAGCATTCCCACGACTGCGTCGTGGGATGCCCCGAGCACCGAGAGCACAGCAACCGCACGACGGAAGCTCACGCCCAATACGCAGACGAGGAGGAAAACATTCGGGGCAAGTATCTACGGCGGCTCAAAGGCTCCTTGCTGGAGCAAAGCCGACGGTGGATCCCACGCCTCCAGCGCCTCCTCGAGACATGGGAGGGATTCCACTCCGGATGGAAGGCCGTCGGAGTGGGCATGATTGCCATCGCCAGCTGCCTCTCCTGCGTGGGCGCGGGCGGTGGCAGCGGCAACATGCCTCGCCTCCGCACCTGGGGTCCCGAGCAGCAGACTCGCGTGCTCTTGCAGAGATGGGTGCGCGAGGTGATCATGTGGTCAGTGGCGAACTCAGACTTCGACGAGTTTCGCCAGGCGGCCTACGTCTCGTCGCGCCTCAAAAGCATGCATCGCGAGCGCGCAGATGAATGGCCGCCGGCTGCCCAGATCCAGGGGGGGGTCATCAGCGGCAACCCGGTGCCGCCGACGCCCTTCCTAATGCGCAGCTTGGCCGAACGACAGGGCCAACTGTGCGAGGAGGGGCGCACTTCGGCGGTCACAGCACTCATGAACTCAACAGACTGCCGCACGAGCGAATCGAAAACCTCATCACGATATTCGATATCCTACGCAACCGTGCGCAGCAAGCTGGTCAACTCCTGATCGGTTACATACGAGGGTCTCAGCATTTTCCTGCTGCGTGCCGCTGGTGCGTCGAACACCCAGCTGACCATGATCTCGTAGCGCTGCGACATGACCTACCCTACAAATGCAGCGCAGCTTGCGCGCATGACGGGACAGCTGCGACGCTTCGGGCACACGATCGAGGGATCGCCCGGCAGTCTCGCGCCGGTGGCCCACCTTGCCCAGCAGCGCGCCTTCCTCACCGGTGCGCCCACGCAAGATCAGGCTCAGGGCGCCCGTGGCGGCGTGGCCAGATCGTGCTGGGGCGGCGCGGGCCCAGCCGCGCCAGGAGCGGCAACGAGCCCGCCTGCGCGAGCAACCGCCGGCAACGCCAGCGCAGCGTCACCAACCCAGGGGGCATTCCCAGCAGCGGGCGTTGACCCAGGCACTGACGCCGACGCCGTCAGCTCATTCGGCGAAGATGCTGCCGCAGACGACCCCGAGCTATTCGACGCCCCCGTGGAATAACGCGGCGCTTGTCTCTCCTGGGTTTTCGAGCGCGCCGAAGCACGTCGGCGCAGCTCTGACAGCGGCAAGCCCACGCGCCGCGTCCAGAGGGTCATCGAACGGAAGGGCAAGGACCAAGGTAAGGGCTGGGGCCATCGCGCCTTCCTGGTCGACCTGTCCGGAAACGACCTCCAGAAAGCATTCGTGGGCTCCGGGAAGGGCAAAGGTAACGGCAAGGGGAAGTTCTGGACCAGCGGCACGAATAAGTCCGCCAAGGTAACCCCGTGGACCCCGGCGGAGTGCGCCCCAAATCCCACGGGCGCGAATCCGACGAGCGCCTCGCGCGCGACCGCCCCCGGCCCCGCGGCCAAAGGCGCGCTCTCTTGCTCGATGCTCGCCAACTGCGCATCTGGGACAACAGGGGCCGCTGGGGCCATCCGAGCAGCAGCCCATGCCGGGGGTGTGCGCCGCGCGGGCGACGCAAGGGCACCTCCGGGGGCTCCGCAGCCCGCGCTTACGGGCGATCCCCGAGAGCGCTGGCCCCTGGGACGGCGGACGCCGACTCCTGCAGCCATGGCGCCGCGGCCGGCGGCACCAGCGGCCGCTCCAAGTGCGTCGTCAGACGGCCCTTGGCAACAAGTTGGCCACGGCCAGTGGTGGGCGGGCGCGTCGCCCTCATCTCCGTCATCGCCAGTGCCCCGCGACGCAGAGCTACAGCGACTACGACGGGAGATGGCGAAACTTACGGGCCGCGCGCAAGCCGCCGCGCAACCGGCGGCCCTGCGACTGCGTCGCGGGCTTGTTCGGCAGCGGCGGGGGAGGCAGCGCCAGCCGCGCCAGCGGCGCCGACAGCCCTGCGCCATTAGCATCGCCGCAGCCTACCCCGCCAAGATGCACGCGAGTGGGCGGCGCATTCCCACTGGGGCAAGCTCGAGCGCGCGACTGGGTGGGCGACCTCAACGCGCGAGCCGCCGCGCGTCCGACCCCTCCTGCCGACGTGCAGTGGCTGAGCTGGGCACGCATGCCTTCAGTCTCAGCCCTCGGCATCGGCGCGCCCTATTGATCGAGCCCCGCGTGGCCGCCTCAGCCCGCGCCCGCAGCTGTCGCCGCCAGTGCCGGTGTTTTCCCGGACCTGGCTCTCTCTAGCCAGAACAGCCCCGTTTACGTCAGTCAGCCGTCAGGGAGAGTGGCCACGTGGTTTGTTGGCCGCGAGGCCCGGATGGCCGGCGGCGGCCGACTCGAGCGCAACGCGGGCACCGCCCTCGATTGCGCGTAGCGACGACACCTCGACGAGGGCCACAGCACACAGCTAGCTCAGCTCATGCGGCAGCAGGACGAGCAGCGACGTCAGGCCGCATGGAGTTGGACAGACACCCCTATCTATCCCCCTCCGCGCCGGCCGCAGCGCTTACTGAGCCTGTCTCAGTCGCGGCTTTCACCGGCGACGATAGGGAGAGCCCCACAGCTGCATCCAGGCTTTCCAGCCCCGCGGGAGGGCGATGCGCCTGCAGCGCCGCCACATCTAGCACCGCGCATGCCATCTGCAATTGACGCAGAATACTGTCTGGCGCGCCGCGGCCGAGGCGACGTCATTTCGCCGATTTCCGCACCATTGGCGCAGATCGCGCGCTGACGGGCCCGGCACCTGTGGCATCGGCCCGCGCGGCAACGGACAGGGGCGTGCCAGAGGAGACCCCGCCGCAGCAGGACATCGCGCAGTCTTCTCGACTTGTCCCTGACCTGGGGGCGCCTCGGCCAGACCTCGAGCAATCGCCGGGCAGTGCGTCCAGCTTCGCGCCCGCCGCGCGGGCGCGTCATTGCCTTGCGACGCCCGCTTGGACTTGCGCGTGCCGCCACGTAGGCCGACGCGTCCATGGCGGCCGATTTCGTCGGGTACAGGCACTAGTGCATCGAGCGAGTCGCCGTGCTACCTGGCGACCACCGATCCACCAGATGGCCAGCCAACCTCTGGGGGCCGCGCTTCGCCGTGAATTTTGCCCGCCGGGCCGGGGCGGCGAAGCTGCGGCGCTGCGAGGAGAAGCTGTCAACCCCATTGTGCGCAGCAGGAGTTGGCAGCGGGCCACAGGTAGCGAACCGGGAGGTTCGCGGCCCCATCGCGGCGGCGCCCCGCGAAGGCGCGACCAGTCAGCGCAGCGTGCTCGCTCCAGCCGTGAAGGGTGCAGGCGCTGACCTCTCTGCCTCGTTAGGTCTGCAGCCCGCGCGGTCCAACGACGGGGGCGGAGGCAGGCGTTGACCGCGAACGCCGCGCCTTGCCCGGCCCAGGCGGCTACGAGGCAGAGGGTGGACCAGATTCAGAGATGAGCCCAGGCAATGGGCGCGCCCATAATATAGGCCTGGGGCTCGTTCTTCGTTTCTTCGGTTCCGACCCGCAAAAAGATGAGCCCGGCCAAGTGCTTTGGCGGCCTTATATTCGTGGGCTCAGGCTCATTTCCATTTGTATCAGATGCATTGTTGAGGTCCGTTGTAGACGTCGATTGTGGGTTCGGGGGAAAAAACTGATCGCGCTGACGCGATCCTAATTTTTGGCTCGGGCGTATTTTTACCTTGGCCTTTTTGGGGCTTGTGTCTGCCTATTGTTTTTTGTCTGGGGGGGGGGGCTCGGGCATATTTTCACCCCGTTGCTTTCCGGCCCAGGCTTATCTTTGCGGCGGGGCGCAGCGACGGGGGCGGGGGCCCTCCAGGGGGCGAGGCGCGCGCGCAGGCCGTCGAGGACCGCGGCGATGACTGCGGTTCCGGCCTCGCGGCCCGGCCCCCCATCTTCGGCCTCCCGGCCGTTCGCGACCGGGGTCGCGCCGGCGAATGCGACGACGGCGACTTCCGTGGCAGCCTCGCCGCAGGTCCGCCCGCGTAGCCGGCCCCGGCACCAGACTCAGATCGCCGAGCGGCTAGTGCGCCAACGGCGCAGCCCGCCGAGTTCGATTCCGTTCATCATCTCCCGCCTACTTCACCTCACTTGGTTATGGCGTCGACATCATCGAGGTTTGCGGTGGGGGCGCGCGGACCGGCAGACTGACTGTCCGCCGCCACCTCAGAGCTGGGAAATTTCGATTGGGTCACCGGCTGCGGCCGCAGCGACGGGGGCCAGCAGCGAGCCGTGGAGAGATGCGCGCGACAAAATCGGCCCCTCGTGGCCATTATGGCCCCAAAGCGCAGTCCCTTCGGTCGTTGGGCGACGTTTAACTGCAAGCAGAACTCCCGCGTCTGGCTGCGCTCCTACGATGACGCGGCCACGCGCGGCCGAGTCCGTGGCTGCGCTGCACGGCTGCAGCTCGAACCAGGCGGCTACTTCGTCAACGAGCAGCCCGAACCATCGCGGTTGCGCGACGAG